CTTCGGGACAAGACCAGCACCCACGGGCCTCTTCGGCACAGGAGCAGCACCCACGGGCCTCTTCGGGACAAGAGAAGTACAGACAGCAGAGACGCTGTCATGTCAGCCACTGGGGATTGGAGAGGCTTCCCTCGTGCTCTCTGGAGAGAATTATGGGGACACGCCGGTCCCTGTCCTGGGTGCGCTGGGCAGCGTCCTGCCAGATTGGGGCACACCTCATTCCTTCCCCTCTCCCCAGCCCCAGCTGGATCTCCCAGATTCATACCAGGCCGGGGGCGGCTTCAGGACCTTCTCAAGAGCGTCGGACAAGGACAGGAGAAGCGGGGATGCCGTTGCTCTCAGGTCTTTCCCAACTCATTCACCAGTAACTGTGGATTCAGCCCCACACCTGGGTCCATTACAGGACCCAGCGCCTTCACGCTTGATCTCCCAGGATGCATTATTCAGCCACGAAGGTGTTCCCCTGCCCCCTTCCCTGTCCCCACCATGTTCGCCTGACCTGATGACTGCTGCAGAGTCGCCCAGACCGGCTGAAGGGGCGTCGTGGGCTTTGGGAGGAGGGGCGGGCATCTCGGCTCGACGCGTCAAACAGAAGGCCGCTGTACCTTCAGCACGTCTCCGCCTACAAGAGGTGGGATTCGCAGCCCACGCCCAGCAGGAGATGGAAGAACGCGGAAAACGAAAACCAAGCGCAGGGGCGGTAGTCTGGTAGTTACACCTTTTTTTTCCATCTTCTATTCTGATCACTTGTGATGTCTAGTCACGTTTGCCGCTGCCCACGCGGTTATGTTTTCTCTGCAAGCCATTTCAAGCACACTGCTCCTTGTATTGAACCCCCTGTAGGTAGTGATAAAAGCACTAGCTTGGCTGATGCAAACCAGGGCGTGTATTTTCTTACCAGCTTTTCTGGAGCCATCGCTATCGGTGTACGATTCTGATGATGGCGGCCTTATTCCCATCAGCATTGAGCTTTTGCCCTTTTGCCCAGATGTGTCTGCCCCGCTGTCAGGGTGCGTGTGAGGTCAGGGTTTTGAAGCTGCTTCAGTGTCTTGTGTGCAGACCTGGATGAAGGGCCACGTCCGGCCTTGGAACCCGGCTTTCATGACCTGTGCTAGACCTGTGATTTGTGATTGGATTCCAGCCGCGAGACCAGGGAGGAGCTGCCATCTGGATCTTTGCGGAGCCAGAGCTGTGTGTTATCCTGGAACCAGCTGTTTGCGCTGCAGCACAAGGTAAGGGCCCCTTTACCTGTTTAATTAGGGCAATTAATTAGGGAGAAGATCTCACATACTGTGCCCATTTTACAGTCCTTCATGCCTGGTGTGTCGGCGTGAATGTTCCTGTTGCGCAGTAAGTGAGTACTGGTCTGCTGCTTGGTGTCTGTGACGTGTAACTCATGATATGTTTATAATGCCTTGTTTAGGATGGGTACTGGCCGTGCACTGCAGAACTGGGCTCTCTACTGGGTGTAGATCTCGACTTCCTTGCCAACATATTCCTGAAGGAAAAGGGCATCCTGTCTCTAGGTAATTAATATCAAAATGCAGAATCTCAGAGCACAAGGAATCGTTCAACTCAATCAAATGCCACCCTGTCATCAGTTTATTAAGGTGGGTAGCTGCGTCAGCATGCGTAGGCTGCAAAGAACCAAGTAAGAGGTTTATTCCCTGCTGAAAAGAGAAGAAAGAAAACACGTTTCGGCCGTGGAGCCTTTTTCGGGTGTGATCAGTTTATTAATCACTGTGATTTCCGGTGACCTCATAGTACTGTGGAAATCTGCTGGTATGCTGTACTGGCGAACTTTAACGTTTCTGTGGCTCGTGGGGCACAAATACAACACCAGCACACTAACTGCCAGACACACAAACGCAGTCCTGGAAATTGTTTCCTGGCTCCTCATGCAATTTCCTGTTGTGTGCAATAAATAAACCGCATGAGCCAGACACACCTTGCTGTAATATACCAGTACCACACACACCAGAGACACTAGTTCAGCGGCACCAGCATCATGCTGCTTCAGTACACCTTCCTGCTGTTGGGAAGCCGTCATCTCCACGCTGGTCTGATCTCCAGTCTAGTCTTTAGACTGATTAAATAAACGAGCGTGGATTTCACATGGGGCATTCTTAAGGCAGTGCCTTTTTTACTGAAGTCCTTATTGAATGTCACTGTGCAGTATTTGTTTCAGAACTACACAAAGCCTCCTTCTCATGGCATGTCCTGGAGCGGTAAGCAGCTTTCGATTTCTCCTGACCGCTTGTTTGCGGTGGGGTTTTTTTTGCTGTTGGATTGTTGGCACAATTAGGACTTTTCTGTTTCAAGGCTTGAAGGCTCGAGAGGAAATCCTGCAGCTGCTGGCCACCCTGCTAGTTCTCCAACTTCTTCGTTTTACGGGACAAACCGAAGGAATACAGCTCACCTCCCTCTTTCAACTCGAGGACACGAAGCAGCCCAGGTGCGTCCCGTCTGTTGAGTTTTAGTCTCTGCTTTTTGTTTTTGACACGACCGAGCTTCCCTTTCGGATCGAGATCCCCAAGAGCGAAAGACAGCCCCCAGTACTTCTGCCCCAATAAACTGATTAAATTCGTGTCCCAGAATTGGACCTACAGCTGTGCTCGCTCAAGATGGTAACTGCGATTATAAAGCATCCCGTCATGCAAGATTTTTAATAGAGTTTAACACTGAGGAAGGCTGTCCCCCTCTTCCCCCAACTTCTAAAACGTTCCTCTGGGAACAAGGAGCGCTGGTGGATTAAGCCCGTTCGGCGGACGGAGATCGGCCCAGTTCTCCCAAGGGGTTCTCGACAAAGATGATCGTGGCGCCTCTTCAGGCATGTCACCCCAACGAGCCCTCTCCCAGCGTGCACCCGTTACCCATACTCCTCCCATCGCTGCAGAGAGAAGCTCGTGTTTGCTGGTCTTACCTGTACTTGTGTTAATTGTACACCTGTCCCTTTAACGCGCAGAGAGGAGGAGAGACTTACCAATAACCCTCGCTCTGCCTTTCCAGCCAGGCAGACATTCGGTTTGTGGAGTTGCGTCTCTGTGCGTCGCGAACGCTTGCCTCTCGGTAGTCATGCTGTGCATCTCCCCCCCACCGCAGGCCGGCGCGCTGGGGCGACGTGAGCCGAGCGGTGGCGTGGGCCCGCGC